TCGAGTGATGAATAACACAATAACACTCAAAGAGTGTTTTCTGCCCGTGTTTATTTTGTTTTGTTGTAGTTAATCGAACCAGCCTGTCTATTTGACTGTTGTTATTGATACGTACACAACAATTTTGTGAAGCAGAAGCGAGTTATTTTTTTGTCTCAAAGTTGCACTATTTTCTTCGTGACAGTTTTAAAATCGAAAGAGAATATTCTTCCTCAGACAACGCTTCAAACCTAACATCTGTCAGATGCTATGCGGATTGAAATAATTTTTTGTGAATGAATTTTCCCGACCATTTTGGATTTCTTAGATTAGAAGTCTCGGCGGATTTCAATTCAAAATTACTAATTCTTGCTGGGTCACTATGTATCTTAAGTTCTGTGCTTCCTGGATCATGGCGTTCTGAACATTTCTGAACATTTGTAATGGCAATCGCACAGCCTCAAAAAAACCATTCCGCAATTCCCATAGTTCCCCTAATTAGTTCGCATAATTGCATACTCTTAATCCTATAGCGTACTATAGTACGACACCCTTACTAATATGTAACACAAAAAAAATCTCATAAATCAGCGAGTTTCCGGAAGATTGTCAAAAATTCCATAAGTGCAAAAAAATAAACCGAAAATTCAGTTCAAATTGCTCATAGTTCTTCTAAGTTCCACAACGATATAAAAAAGACGACACGCATTGTAATCGCACTACGACACCGTTCGGATAGTCTCAGTTCCTCTCATACAATTAGAATTTTCGCGCAAGAGACTAAAATTCTCGTAGATTTTGCAGAATTTCGCAATTCATGGAACTTGGATATCCTCAGGTTAATAGGATAATTAATTGTCTAAATGATAATATGAATGACGCAACAAATAGTATATACATGGATAAATAGTACATGTAATTATAATATCGAGACCATTTTTCGAAATGTTGATCAATGCATAGGACAAGCTGTCTGCTTCAAATTAGTTTAAAAATTAGTTTACACAATAAATGGTTTGTATCCAAATAGATGTTCATAATAGGTTTGATTGAAGCATGTGATAGTAACAGAAATTTCATGCCTGCCCTCTTCCGACTGTTCATAATGATAAACACTGCTAATTCGTTGTTCGACATCAGAGGTACTAGCTGCAGCTTTATGGGCATTTTTATTGAATAATGGGCAAACTTGTTGAGCGGACTTTCTGTTTTGGGCATCCTGGTGTAGTCTAAAACTAATAAAACGGGAACGAAGTCATCTTGCTGACTACGAATTTAATGAAACACTTGAGTGCTTGTAGAGCACATAGGATAGTGTAGCAATTCTACTTATACCAGATTGATTTGCATAAAGAAGTTTGAGATAGCTCTTTTGTTCAGATTAAGGTGGAATAAAATTATTAAACGCATGGAATTTTTTGACTCTGATCACGAAACATGAACAGAAGCGCGCACTTGCAATATCATCCTGTCGATATTTGTTACAATTTGAGGACCAATGCAAGATCTACTATAGAAGAGATTGAGGCAGATGACAAAGACTTTTTCAAAGTAGTAGCTGATGAGTGATAAATTTCACACAGCGTGGATTTCCGAGTCATGAAGTTATCGAAATTGACAGAGAAATTTCAAAGAGGAATGTCTCATTGTGTGTCCGTTTCTGCAGAAACTGAACCTCCACACCAAGAGAGCAACGATCGTCTTTGTGAGGCTCAAAGCCAGATTTCCTCCTTTGAACTTTCATCTATTCGCATGAGAGTGTGTTGATTTACTGTTATATGCGTGCATGGAAAATAGTCAACAACGGCAAAGACTTCAAATCGCGTTGAGTTTTTAAATGTAATAACAGTAGATAAACTGCTACTGAATGATTTGAGTCTTGACTGTGATGCTATGGCGACGATCCTGTAGGCTGTTAATACTTTTATTAGGGAAAGTGGCAGTTTTATCTAGCCAGCTAAAACAAATAATAATTCTTACACTTGCACCGAGAGACCACTGCTTGCTACTCGGCTAGCCGTGTTTTTACTGTATCCGTGGATAATTGAGATATTTTTGTGATCTTCCCAAAGCGTGAAAAGAGTTTCCCCATGTGACGTTTTGTGCAACGAATGAAGCTATTTCTAATATCCGTTTTGTCTGAAGAATCTTAAAACAAGCTGTAAATCTTGCTATTTAACGATCATTGTGAAAGTGCTTTAAAGTATTTTTGATCTCCTGTTTAGTCATGTCACAGGATAGACATCTCTAAAACAGTCTGTTCGATGCAGAAGTTCTTTGTCCATCGAATGAAGCTATTTTCAATATCTGTTATGTCTGAAGACATCCTAAAAAAGGTCAAAATTATTTATCGATCATCGTGAAAGCGCTTTAAAGTATTTTTGCTCTCTTGTTTAGTCGCGTCACATGGCTAAAATCTCTAGAATAGTCTGTTCGATGAAGAATTTCACTGTCTATCCAATGAAACTATTTCCAATATCGGTTGTATCTGAAGAAATGTTGAAAAAGGCTGGAAATCTGTTATTTATCGATCGTTGTGAAAGTTTTCTGAGATATTTTTGCTCTCTTGTTTAGTCGTGTCACATGGTAAAATCTCTAAAACAATCTCTTCGATGCAGAATTATTAGTTGTATCATCAATATCTTTTATATCTGATAAATGCTACTGTTGCGACTGTAAATCTCACAAACATCCTTCAGACTTCCTGCGCAATAAATTACTGATATCTTTTCTTACTGAATACTGCAAAAGCAAATACTTAGACTCTTTCTGCAAGACAAGGTTGAGTGGTGAGGGTGCGGGGGTGAAGAACAGCTTCTAGCTTCAAGACGGATATTTTCTGATCTCTCAAAGTTTCATTAATGACAATCTGATTCCACATGTTTAAAGCTAAAAAAAAGAGATTCTGACTTGTTCCAGTTTCAAGGAAACGAAGTCAAAGATGTTACGATCAAGTAGATAGCCGAGAAAAGTTCAATCCTTGCTCGAGGTCGGCTGTGATTAGTATGCTGGAAAACTCAAACCATAATGATTATCGGTATGATGTACGGATGGTTGCCGCTTCTCTTCTCACACTTGAAGAAATCCTTTTATTGATCAAAATTGATTAGTGCACAAAACTGATGTCTCAAATCTGGGCCATGCCTCCATCGACAAACAGCTCAATACCCGTGATATAACTACTATCACTTGAAGCCAGAAAGACGGCTACTTTGGCAATTTCATCAGACGTACCAAATCGATTCATGGGTATAGCAGAGAGCAAATCGACGTTCATTATTTTTTTCATCTCGTCACTAAATCCTGATTTGTCCCATGCAGCTGTTGGAATTGCCCCTGGACTGAGGGTATTGACTCGAATCTTGCGTTCCTTCAGGTCGACCGTCCAGCAACGGGCAAACGAGCGAACAGCCGCCTTGCTTGCACTCAGAAGACTCGCGGTAGGATGACCTTTAATGGAGCTAACAGATCCATTTAAGATGATGGATCCACCTTCGCTTATCAATGGTAAGACTTTTTGGACAGTGAACAATACGCCTTTTACGTTGATGTTGAATAGTTCATCAAATTGTTTCTCGGTGATTGAACCCAGCGGCACAAACGTGCCGATACCTGCATTGGCGAAGACGATATCTAAGCGACCCTTTTCCTTCTCGATGATGCTGTGCATCGTGTCGAGATCAGCCATCTTGGACGCATCAGCTCGTATTGCAGTCACTTTCTTCCTATCCATTGTCTTCACGGCTTCGTCAAGCACTTCCTGACGGCGTCCGGTGATGAAGACATGTTCTGCACCTTCAGCAATGAATCGTTGCGCAGTGACCAAACCCATGCCTTCGGAGCCACCTGTGATGAGAGCAATTTTTCCGTCGAGCTTACCCATTTTCTTCGTGTTGTCGCAGTAGTCGGAGTTACTGTGCAGCGAGTGGTCTTCGACGTGTTTTGTAAAAGAAAGACACCTATCGCGCATTTATGTACAACCACGCGTCACCATCATGCTGACTAGGCATTTTTCTCGTCCTTCTAAGCGTTTACTCGCATCATGACGATGTTATGTGTCCTCTCTAGCATGGCTTTATTCGATTCTTTTTGATATAAGAACAGAAAGGAAAAAGTGTGATTGTGTCCATGTAGAAAATAAACGAAACAAACCATCTATAATCATGATTTAAAACAGTTTTTCTTCATTGCAGAAAACGCCAACCGAACGAGTTCAAATGCAACGTATCTGTACGCGAGGTTCCCCAAACTCAAACTTCGAGCATATTTTTTTAACCCTCATTCGGCTACTTTACGTTATAAACTCTCAGTGCTTTGTCGTTTAATTGCAATCAAATAAGCCACACTCTACTGCACTTGCTCGATCGCAGCTTCTGCTTTTTTAAATCTGTTTTTTTAGCACTTCCAAGATCATTTCATCATAACATGCCATCGTCGGATCATCCTCATCGTTCCGCAGTCTGATATAAATAATCATTCCAATTCTATATCGTACAAATCTTATTTTCATCCACCATTGTATTTTGACGAAACTAGTTCATATGTCACACATCAGGGATATAATCGAGATAGAAATATACAATCAGGTCATTATAAAAATGGATATCTATAATAATTATTATCGAGCAAAATGATTATAGTGATTATAGATCAACAGATAACTTAAGCATAATTAAATGAGAATTTAAATGAGAGTTTAGGCTAAATTCTCATTTAATTATGCTTAAGTTATCTGTTGATCTATAATCACTATAATCATTTTGCTCGATAATAATTATTAGCCTAAACAATGACTTGAGTACAGTAAAACTCGGCGACCCCGGACAGAAAAAGGGCGCATCATCTTCGTATAAATAACGGCATATATGGATAAGAATTTCATTCGGGAGATCTTCGATCTTTGAGCGATTGTCAGATAAAAAAGTAGAACGCATTAATTCACATCTACCCACGTGAAAATATTGCTTTTTAGAGTATTGAATAATAATGTCGTACGACAATGCCATTATAGTTGTTCCATGGATTCAACCAATAAATCTTTAAGATTTGTCATTGTTGCATGATCGTAAAGTCAAAAAGAAATATATTTACTTTTACACAGAGATTTGCAGTAATATTGGACGATTTTGTTCCTTTTCTTCCCAATTGTTTTGTGTTGAATTATTTGATATTGTGGCCTATAAATAAAGAAGAGACAGCATTATAAGTAAAAAGCAATCAACATCACGATAGTAGCATCAGTACTTTATCCCATGCTGTATTTTCAGTTGTTGCTTACCTTGCATAATGTTAATACAATCTCATTTTCTTATATTTAATTTCGATAATTCGCAAGCACATGAAAAATAAGGACGATTATTTTTATTTAGTCTTTTCTGGTCAACGATTGCTGCCTCATATTTTTATTTGTTTTCGACTATGCATATGCCTAAATGGTAAATGGGTTAAAAAATTCAGGGTATTTTTTTATGCCAAAGAAGAAAGTATGTCAACAGTTTTTGAAATAACAACTCAAGAAAGAACATCATTATCCTATGATAAAATTATTTGAACATACAATGCCTACACGTTGACAAGGTGAATTATGGACTATCCTTTTGTGTATAGTAACAGCTATATTATTCGGTCATCAATCGATTTTACTGTATTATCAGATATTATAGCATTAACAAAATCAAGAATGAAAACGAAAGTAATTGTTTCAGAAAAAGTTGGAAAACGAATTAAAACAGATGAAACAGATGCAATCGGCCAGTCCACGTAACGGTAAACTTTTATGTTAAAGTTGAAGTGCAAAGTCGGCTAACGAACACGGTTTTTTCATCGCGTAATGCTGTTACATAAAAAGACCCTAAATTCGGAGTGCTCCTGCTAAAATTCTAATTTCCTGCGAAAATCGTTCTCCAAATGAAATACCCCTAGAGCAAATTTTGTAGAGCATCGAACGAACTTTTCAGAGCTAAAAAAAATTTTCTTCTAACTAGTTTTACTCGCGTAAAAAAAGCAAGAAACAAACGTAACGCTGTTACACATTTTTCTGTCACACCATTTTAGGGCACTCAACGTTCTTCGAACAACTTCATACTTATAGCTTGAGTACTTCTAGCCAAAACGAGTCATTTTGTAGAAAATTGAATTCTCTATTCGACAGTATATTTTTAAAATTATTTGACGAAGGTCTCTAGGTCAGAAAAATAAAATTAAAGATTTCAAAAATTTTAAATTGAAATTTTTTGATTGAAAATTCAGTTTTTTTCAAAATAAAGGCTGAATTCGGAGTAAGAGTGACGAGCTGTGTCTGGTGATCGGTCTCCCGTTGAAAAAGAAAAAGAAAAAACTTGGTCAATGAAGTATCGCTTTACGTGGACAAGCTGATATACATATACTTCATTATATATTCGCCGCTCATAACACGTTATTTATGGAAATATTATTGTCAAATAAAAATACACAAAATTGTTCTCGGCACACTAATTTTACTTTCAATTGTTGGTACTATTTAGATGTAATAGCACGTGCTATGCTGTGTACATTTTTTCAATTTTTTTCTGTCTTGACTTATAATTGCTGTTTTTATTGGTGACTGTAAAAATAATGAATCAAGACAATTAGTTGTTCGAAATAATATTACAAATGATCATTTCATTATATGTAATATACTAATAATTTTTCACATTTTATTGACGGATCTCTTTTGTGTGTAATTGCACACTGTTTTGTAGTAAGTAGTTCAATAATTCCTAATATTTATGTGATCCAAAACGTACTAATTACTGCAGTCTCTCAGCTGATCAATAAACTACGGTCAATCTTCATTGAGTCATTGTACCTGCAAAAAATTTAGAAAAGAAATTAATGCTTTGTTTTTGTTTTCATACATTTACCAATTAAGTCGATGTTTCGGTTTGTCCCAACAGCGCTTCTTCAGGAAACACAAAGATAAATTGATTTTTTAAGTGAAAAGTTAACTAAAGAAAAATTAACTACTTTTAACTGCATGCTCAAAAATTGCTTAAGATAAATACATAAATAACAAACTGACAATCAAAAATATCAGAATAAAAATAAATCTCTTTAATTTTATTTAGAGGAATTCATTTTAATCCTTTGGGACCGGTGACACATCTGGTTTTCCCTAGAAAACGAAATGTCTGCTCTACATTAAAGTTCAAATTTTTTGCAGTATAGTTTATACGATAAAACTTTATATTTACTTTTTCATTGAGAGGGAAATTGTCTGAAGTTAATCGTTCTCAAGGTGGCAAACAAAATTTATTTCGGAGTTTCTTTTAATCACTGTCCCACTTTTAGTGAAAAAATGACAGGAAGGAATTGAATATAATAGGAACAGTCCTTAGTGCTATACGCTTGCGTAAGAGATATGTGGATCAGTATGGAAAGATATGCACTGACGAACGTGTCTGTTAAAGAATCACCCCATGAGGGTTTTTTAAAAAACTCTCATGAGATATGGTACACATCATTTACATATAGCAGCATGAGCACGATTTTTCATATGCCAACCTTCATCCGCTAACAAAAAGCTCGTTAGTCCAAGCCTACAGAAGTCAGTTCTGTTGAACCAGTCGGCTAGGTCGAAGCTGATATTACGTTAGCAAGACAAACTTTTAGATATTCGGTTGTTCTAGCTCGCAAATTCAATCAGAGAGTCTTGTTAGGAACCGATTTTATGTTCGAAATAGGTTTAGTTTTACCCGTCTACGCTGTTACTAACGGCAAAATAAATGGATAGTATAAACCTGAATAATGTTGACCTACCGATTTGCTGAGATGGTACCGAGTATTTCCAATCTTCGACTATCTAATAACACTTTTTTTTGAATATTTTATATATCATTTTGTTGGCCGTGAAATTCTCTATCGAATGATGTACAGTAGTTGGGGTTTCCGTTGAGCAAACGAGAAGAAATTAGGAAAATACTCTAAGTAAAGTTCATCTAATGAGAGAAAAGTTTGGATGCGAAAATGTTTCTAGAGGAGTGGGTGTCAAAATAGCTTTTTTAAGGTGCTAGTTTTAATCACGGGGAAAAACTACATCAGACTTGTGAATATGAGATTGATCTCAGAGGGAGTCGATTTCGACCCCTGTCTTTTCTTTTTCTTTCTCTATTCCATTTAAGGATCTCTTTTCTAGTATCGGAGAGCGGTCTAGCGCTTTACACCAACTTAAACAAACCTGTTATAATGTTGCCGTTTTATGTAGTGTTAGAGGCTAGGAACTTGTGAAATATACATGCTCAATTAACTGAAAACTCCGCTCAGAGCAACGAAAAAGGCCCAAATTATGAAAAAATGCGCTGATAGATCGACGGACACAGATTCTTCTGTACAGGTTTTTTTTGGCTATCGCTTGTCTCGATGCGACATAGAGAACAGGCTAATAGCTTGACATGTCGAACAATTTACTTAGGTCTGACCAAAAGTTCTAAGCACATTGAATAAAAATATACTAGTTTGAGGTAGCTTTGATGGATTTTGACTGACGAGGGAAGTACTCCAACTGATAAATCGCTTTTTCAACGAAACCGAGTGGACTATAGATAGTCGACGATGCCGATTCCGAATATCACCATGAATGCTGCTGCTAGGCCTTCAAAGATCGGTTTTCTGAAAAACCAGTTTTCGAGAAACTCTAAAGAACAATCAAAAGCTTTCTTAATGAGCCGTAATTGTAGTCCATAAATTTCCAATTAAAACGAGGCATCTCCCAGCTCTACACGACCTTTCTTTGCAAAGTTATAGAGTTTACAAGAAAGCCCTAAATTCATTTTTCGTTTTTCTTTCTGTAGCTCTGGGGTGATAATGAACATTTAGGGTTTTCTTGTAAACTCTAT